TAAATCTACGAGAGAACGCAGCCTAGAAATATATCATTCGCTATGATTAATTTCTAGGAAAATAAGTGAAACACATAAATATATTCCAGAACAGTAAAATCGTAATGAAATTACTATACTCCAGAAGATTTTTTAATTAAAATATATTATGAAATATACAATCCGCTTTGACTAATACTCATACAGAATTACTGTTTTGTTAAATTAAATAATTTATGGCCGGTATTCAGAGTCGTTGCTTATTCTTAAGACCGTCTTAAGAATTTGCTATCCCTGTCTAACCCACATTTCCAGTCCTTGTTTTGTACAGGGAACAGGTGCTTAAGCAAATGCTTAAGACAATCTTAAGAATAAGCAACGACTCTGAATACCGGCCTATGTCTTGTCTAAAAACGCTATGGTTCCGAGTTTCATCGGAAGTAATACAACGAATAGAAATTTTTATCGGACGGAATATGCAGCAATCCTAAAGAAATAATGGATCATTTTGATTTTCTTTGAATTTTTCATCATACATACAGTTTATTCTGTTACTTCTATTTCCTTATTTATGTAGCAACATTAAAACATAGTCAAAGAAAAAGCTTTGTAGTTCCCTTACAATTCTTTTCTCTATAAAAATAATTATCTTCTCAATTAAAGATTTAAATGAAGTACAAAATTACTAATTCGGTGAACGGCTAGTATCTCATCATTAATAATAAATTGTAAGTATAATAATATTGCCCTTTTTACATTGCATGTCACTGAAAAACTTGCACTTTATATTTTCCTTGCGAGTTATAAAGTAAATTTTACTTTCTATTCGTGAATTTGGATAAACTAATAACAATGCATTGACAGCAGTATTCTTCTATGGTTTAACACGTTGACTGCCGCGTGTGTTTCCAATAAAATTTCCTTCAGGCCACGAGTGCCGCTGCACCAAGTGTACTCGCAAGAACTTCCCGTTTCGTTTGTTTGCATGATACCATGTTTGGTCATTTGTTTACATTATTAAATACCTGAGGTCCTCACTTATTACCTCGCCATTCCACATGATCAGTTTGAATCTTTACCAAATAACGAGCGGTATAACTTAAAATCTCTGCCCTAATTCGTTCGAATATCGAAAAGAAAAATGGAAAACTTATTTCTTAGTAAGACAAATAGCAGTGAAAAAGAAAGCTATTACGAAGCTTACACAAATTCGGAGAGTAGCGATGAGTAGCAATCGTCTGATTCTGATTCGGATATTGATAAGTGCAGTCGTAGTGATATTGAGTGTCATAAAGATACAATTAACGATATTTTACAAGAATTGATCATTGAGGAAGAAAGAAGAGCTGATGATATCGAGGAAACTAAGTAGCGAAAATATAGCTTATTAAATGACTTTGCTGTCACCTGAATATGGGTAACGCGGCAGTCAACGTGTTAATCAATCTATAGACCGAAAGAGTCACATGACTTTATCGACCCATGAATGTAATCCACAATGGGGAAGCCTGGCACGTATCAATGAATTTGTAATAAATAAAATCAAGTTAAGCATCAGAACATTGTAAATCACATATTATATCTGATCAACGAGTTAATCTACCCTGAGTTTCAACAGCTTTAAAGAGAGGCATATAAACATCATCACTTTTTTACGAAGAATAAGGATCGACCTTGCCTCATTATTCTTTTATACTTTCTCAGCATATAAAAATATTGAATGCGTTTAACACTAACGTGTATAT